CTCTGCCCAGGGTCGCCTTTGCTCTGTCGCAGCCGCAAAAGAAGATCTTCACCCGAAGCTCATCCAAAGGTGTTTATTGGAAGACAGCTGGACCAGCCAAGCTGAACATACACAGGGTTTATATAGGGGTTCCTGGGGTTGGGGAAGTTTTTCCAGGGTAGGGATTGGTCCGATTTCAGTGCTGAGCTCAGATTGGCTAGAGCTCTGCTCCGGGATTGGTTACTTTTTTACACAGGATTAGGGTCAGATTTGGCTCTGGTTTCAGGGCCAAAGTGTGTTTCTTTCTCTGGTCCTTTTTAGCCTTTTGGCTCCAATTTTAGGGCCAGGGTACATTTCTTTCACTGACTCTGATTCCAGGGACAAAGTGTGTTCCTTTGGCACTGGTTTTAGGGTCAGGGTACATTTCTTTGGTTCTGGTTGCAGGGCCAAAGTGTGTTTCTTTGGCTCTGCTCAGGGTGTGTTTCTTTGACTGGTCCCTTTTCCCTACAAGCCCGTCGTGCTACAAGGAACCCTAACTTTACAACAAGCTGCTCTGATGAGGAACCGGAGGCCTGGAGGAGTGACTTGCCTCAGCTCTGTGTTTAGTTGCAAAAGCACCGGATTCTGGATTGAGGCTACTGACCCAGATAGGCCAGAGAAGTCACTGTTTGCATTGGGCGCCCTCTGCCCATCTTTCATCGATTCCTCTGGATGCCCTTCCCCTGGTTCTCCACAGCATCTGTTTCATGCAGTGAAGGAAAAACAACACTAGTTGGGACGGAAAAACTGGGTCAAGACTTAAGGCAGACATAAGCGTGGAACTCAGTGGTAGATTGTTTGCCCAGTGCGTGCAAGGCCTTGGTCCAATACCCACAACATCACGGGGTGGGAGGGGGGCGATAAGGAGCTCAGGCAGAAAACTTACAAAATATTAGTAAACTTTAATTTTTTCCAAGATCATAACTGTAGCAAATACCAGTGGGGAAAAAATTGGAAGATAAATTATCATCGTATAGACCCAGAGAGGATCACTGTTAAATTGTATAATAAATACTGATAAAGCTGGGTGTACCGGTTCACACCTATAACCCCAGCCCTTGGGAGGTTGAAGCAGGAAGACTGATATGAGTTCAAGGCCAGGCTACACTATATGGTGAGTTTCAGGCTGCTCTGGGCTGTAGAGTGAGACTCAGTCTTGAAAAACCTAAACAACAACAACAACAGAAAACCGTAACAGCAACAACAACAAAATCCACACCAAAACAAACACTGACAGTATTTTAGCAGCTGGTCTTTTATACAAAATGATTCACTCAGCAAATACACAAGCACCTGCTGTTTGCCTGGCATTGTTCTGGGTTTAGGTATGAAGCAATTTTCAGAACAATACAAATCCTCATTCTCACAGAGCTACCATCTTGTGGGAGAAAACAGTTGACAAACAAATGTGAGGTGGGCTTGGTGGTGTTGGGCACTGTCAAGACAAAGGGAAGCCAAGTAGGGGAGCCCGGGAGGGTTTCTGACATGCCAAAACACTGGCTCAACTTTCTCTCTGTTGCCTGAGGCCTTCCCCCATGCTCACTGAGAGATACAAAGTTTCTTTCCTAATACTGTAATTAAATATCCTGACAAAAGCCATTGTGAAACCGAGTGCCCATAGTTGCTTTTCTATTGCTGTAATAAAGTATCCTGACAAAGGCAACTTGGAAGGGCTTGTTTTGGTGTAGACTCTGAGGTTGCCAGTCCATCAAGGCAGGATGGGAAAGGCCCGCAGCAGCCGCATGAGGCAGCTGGTACACTGCATGGATGCCGGTGCTCAGTTCTCTTCTCTCTGAGTCCAGGACCCCCACTATAATTAACCTAATCTAGAGATGCCCTTGCAGACTTTCCCAGGAGTGGTTTCCATGGTGATTCTAAACCCCAGCAAGCTAATGATCAAGATTAACCAAGTCAGAAGGCTCCAGTAGCCTAGGCTGGCTTTGAACTCATTGCACAGTTGAAGCTGACACACAACTGGCCCTCCCGCCTCACCCCATCCAGTGCCAGGGTCGCAGGCATTCAGCACCACACCCAGTTTCCTGTTCCCATCTTAAATGTCTACCAGGGTTTTCTTAGCTCATCTTATTTTTACTCTCCCACACTAATCATTATTATTAAAAATAGTTTGGGCTCACCATAATTTATTTAGATAGACCCATGTGTTTTCTAAATATTTGACCACTCCTCTTGTGGCGGCAGCTCATTTCCTTTTGGCCTTAGTTTTTTTCTTCCTTAAATGCATCAGAAATTTCCCTTGTAAAAGCCTATGGTGGTTTCTCTGTTTTTGTTTATCTGAAGATGTCCTTAACTTATTCTCTTTTAAAAACAAATAATGTTCTTGTTGGAGATGGGTAACCTATGCCTATAATCACAACATTTGGGAGACTGAAGAAGATGGAGAGTTTAAGACTGGCAAGACCCTGGCTCAAAAGTTAAAAGTCTGACTTTACTCAGATATAATGCATGCAACAAACTGCGGTTTCTGGTGTGTGTGTGTGTGTGTGTGTGTTTGAGAGAGAGATAAAGTCCCATATCTCCCAAGTTGCTTTCAAACTTGTTGTATATCAGAAACATGACCCTGAGAATTTGATCCTCCACCCAATTATTGGAATTCCAGGCAAGCACCATCACAGTCAATGCTGGGGATTGAATCTAGGACTTGAGCATTCAAGGCAAACACTCTGCCAACAAAGCTACATTCCCAGTCTAAATTTCAGCTGATGCATATATTTCAGTGGTTTTGAGTGCATTCACAAATTTGTGCAACTATCACCACTAATTTCAGAACATTTCATCACCCACGGGGCGGGGACGGGGAGTGGGGAGAGTGGGGGACACGGAAGGGACACAACTTCAACTTCATGCTGGGTGAGGTCAGACACTGCTAGTTGTGAGCCTCAACGTCAATGCTGGGAACTGAGCCTGGGTTCTCTGAAGAGCAGACAGTGCTCTTAACTACTGAGCCTCCAGTCTCAAGGCTGGTTTCTTGTAGTTAGCATGTTTTCAAGTTTCATCGATTTTATAGCATATACCAGTGGTTATTTAGTTTTTCTGTGTGTAGCCCTGCTATTCACGAAAGTCCTTTGCTTTGCAGACCAGAGATGGCTTGCCCCTGCCCAAGGTCTAGGATTAAAGTCCAGTTGTTTTGAGACAGTGTTGCTTTTTTTTTTTTTTTTTTTTGGTTTTTCGAGACAGGGTTTCTCTGTGGCTTTGGAGGCTGTCCTGGAACTCACTTGGTAGTCCAGGCTGGTCTCGAACTCACAGAGATCCGCCTGCCTCTGCCTCCCGAGTGCTGGGATTAAAGGCGTGCGCCACCAACGCCCGGCTTCTCTGTGGCTTTGGAGGCTGTCCTGGAACTCGCTTGGTAGTCCAGGCTGGTCTCGAACTCACAGAGATCCGCCTGCCTCTGCCTCCCGAGTGCTGGGATTAAAGGCGTATGCCAACTCCCGGCTGAGACAGTGTTGCTTGTAGCCCAGTATCCAACTCACAAGGAGTGGGATAAAGTTAAACACTCTACATTCCCAGCTACTTTCTATTTTTTTTAATTTACTAATTTTTATTTTATTTGCGTTGGTGCTTTGCTGTGGGTGTCAGGTACTCTGGAAATGGAATTACAGACAGTTGTGAGCTGTCATGTGGATGCTAGGAATTGAACCTAGGTCCTCTGAAAGAGTGATCAGTGCTCTTAACCACTGAGCCATCTTCCCCGGCCCCGGACTTACCGTTTCTTAACAAGATACTGTGGAGGGAAGACTGTGTAAGTGTGTGCAGACCGCCCTTTCTTTTCCTGGCTTACGGCAATCCCAGTAAGAAAGCCCCATGATTTATATAACCAGTTTCTGTTGGGGCTTTCTCAGTCCTTCTCAACTGAGTATAGTACGACGATAATTCCATTCTCTCTCTCCACAGGTGGGAGTTCACCTGAGGGATAACTCCCAGAAGAGGAATTCTGGGTAAAAGGGCACAGACGCTGTGTTTGATGATGAACCAAAATTGATGGGTTGCTTGGGAAAGTTGCGTCCACGGATCTCTGCAGGCCAGCACGTCTCTCTTCTTCCGGGTATCCCCGCCCCCTTTGAGACAGACCAGACATCCTGGAAAGTAGGGGAAAGGTCACGGCGGGAGTCGCTTCCTCCCTTCCGCTCTGTTTAAGCTTAGAAGTGAGGGCTTCTCCCCCAGACCGAGCTGCTCTTGCCCGGGCACGCTGACTCACCAATCCTAGAGATCAAGGGATCCCCGATCTTCACCCCGAGAAGGCGCAGGAGCCACCCACAAACTTCCCCGTGTGTTTGTTCAGTTACAACTCCCCGTAATTGGAGGGGGGAGCTTTCCCACTCTCGGCCTCCCCAGAATCTTCTCTGAGCTCCCCCTTTTGGGACAACCTGTCTGCATTGTCTTGGCTAGGGCTGGCAGATACCTAGTAAAGCAGGTCAGTGTCCAGGTACGAAGCCTGGACCATGACCCCCTCCCTCTCTAGTTCGCACTGGAGGCACTTTCAAAAGCAAGTAGTTTATTTTAAATGAAAGAAAACCAAAGGTATCCAGGAGCCACTGAGGGCAAGGTAATTTGCCCAAACGCCGTTAAGAACCAAGACCAATGCCAGGAGACTATTTCACTTTCACTCGGAAGGGTTCGAGGCCAGCCCGGGCTACACAGTAAGAACCAGTTCAAAGAGAACCCCTGCCGGGCTTTCACCCACTACCCGCCCCGAGCGGTGTCGCTGCAAGGATGGTGACGGGGAGGGTGGGGTAAAGGCGCCTTTCGGCTGCTGGTTTTCTAGAAGGCGGGCGGCCGGGGTAGATCCTCGCGCCAAACCCATTCTGGACAGCAGTGAGTCAACCGCAAGCCGCGTGCTTCCCGCGACTCCCTGGGAAATCCGCGGTGCCCGCTCCAGATGACGCAGGGGCAGGGCGAGCAGCGGACGTGCACAGCAGAAGCGTGTCGGCGGCTTCGGTGCGCACGCGCGGTCCCCGAGGGCGGGGCCTCGGCCGCAGTGGGCGGGGCCTCGAGGCGTCGGTTTCTCTCGGCTACTTATTTGTATCCGGAGCAGTGCCTGCGTGGAGCTTCCACGCTGCGACTCCGGGGACCTTCCTCCTTACGCCTGCACGACCTGCTGGGACAGCGATCAGCCGTCTCTTCCTCCTGAGGTAACTGACGCGGGGTCTCCTCAGGCTGGAGGCCGAGTCCTGGGTCCCTCGCCCCACGGTCGGGCTGCCTGCGCTCCCTTTTAAGGCTGTGTCTCCCGCTCTTCTCTCTGCTTGGCCCGATCTATGAACCCCGAAGGCCGCCTGTGCTCGCCCACCATGCGTGCCTAAAGCACCCTTATCTTTCCCTTTCTAATGTAGCTATTAGAGTGTTGTGTCGTAACTGCCCCTCTTCTTGTCTGTAGGACGACTGCGTGGCCCTAAGTACCTTCCAGAAAGCCTTCAAGTATGTTTGGACAAATTAACTTGATTTAACTTTCAGTTTTTTCGTAGTTGCTGCTTTCTGTTTTGAAGTACTAGGGATTGAACCTAGAATTTTGTATGTGCTAAGGCTTAAACCACTGGGCTGTATTACCAGCCCTTATGGCTACTTTGAGACAAGGCTTCACTAAATCCCCCAAAGTAGCTTCTAATACTCTCTGTAGCTCGGGCCAACCTTAAACATGAATTCCTTCTGCCTCGGCCTCCTTCATAGCTGGGATTACAGGCCTTTGCCATTCTTACTTATATTTATATTGACTTTCAAGGATTTTACAATAATCAAATGTGTGATACAGCAGACTAATAATACAGATTGCTTTATCTAGGGCATGTTCTATTCTTGTGAGTGCTACAGCATGCTAGGCAAGCTCTCTACACTTGAGTTATAGTTTCAGCCTCTTTATTTCTTTTCCTGAGACAGGGTTTCTCTGTGTAGCCCTGGATGTCTTAGAACTCGCTCTGCAGACCAGGCTGGCCTTAGAAATCTGACTGCCTGTCTCCGAGTGTTCGAATTAAAGGCCTGAAGCGCCACTACCTGGCTCAGCTCTCTTTTTGCACCTTTTGAATCATGGTCTCACTAAGTTGCCCAGGCTGGGTTTTAGCTCTCTGTGTAGCCCAGGCATGCACCAGCCACATCTAACATTTTCTTTAAAAAAAAATATATATATGTATAAAAATACATATGCATTTTGCCTGCATGTTTGCTGTGCATAATGGGTGTATGGTGCCTGTAGAGGCCAGAGATGGTGTCATATCCTCCTCTGGAACTGGAGTTGCAGATGATTGTGAGCTGCCATGTGGCTGCCGAATCCTCAGCCATGAGCCCCATCTCTCCAGCACAATTTTCTTATATTCCCATCTGCCCCTTATGTGAAGGTAAGTACGGGCACTGCAACATAGAGTTTGTTCATTGCTCTTGGTAGTAATGGCCTTCAAGAGAAGTAAAAGTAGCTGGATGTGTGGGGCGTACCTCTAATCCCCAGCACTTGAGGCATGAACAAGAGCATTTCTTCAGGTGTGAGGCTAGCCTGGGCTACAGAGCAGGCTGCTGGAGAGAGCGAGAAGAGGGAAAGAAATTATCGAAACGTGGTTTGTTCTTCAGCTGTGGAGTGTGCAGTGCAAAATTCTTGGGCCTTTTTTTTTTTTAAAGATTTATTATGTACACATTGTTCTGTCTGCATGACAGAAGAGGGCACCAGGTCTCATTACAGATGGTTGTGAGCCTGGGAATTGAACTCAGGGCCTCTGGAAGAGCAGTGGGTGCTCTTAACCTCTGAACCATCTCTGCAGCCCATTTGGGCCTTTCTTGCTCCCAGGAAAATGGGATGAAGGATGCATACACATTCCTAGAGACCAAATGATAGAATAGACCCTTGCTTTCTCTTCACAGGATCTTGAAGCAAAACGCAGCTCTACCTCCCTGCAAAGGAGCTGGCATTGCAGCCATGAAGTATATGTTGAACCTCTATCTGCTGGGGGTTGTACTGACCCTGCTGTCCGTCTTTGTTAGACTGATGGAGTCACTGGAGGGCTTGTTGGAGAACCCATTGCCTGGGAGCCCCTGGATCACCAGAGGTCAGCTAGCCAACACCGAGCCTCCCAAAGGCCTTCCAGACCACCCATCTAGAGGAGTGCAGTAAAGCCTCCCTCCAGGCTTCAGCCAGACTTCGATACACTAACTTGAGCATGTCCAACCAAGTGTTCCATTTCCGAAGAGGCAGCATCCGTGTCTCCAAAGAACTGTTACTAGGCCTGGAAGGGCCTTCGTTTTGGATGTTCCTTGCCCTGGAAAAGGGCCTAATTAATGTGAGTGGGTTGTCTGGTTGTAGGATGGAATCTGGCTCTCCGATGTTTGCCACAGGCTTTGCTGCCCTCAGGGTGTGGCTCTGAGATGGCGGTGTACCAGTTTCAGCTGAGGACTCTTGGACATAAGTATTTTATGGTTGGTTTGGTACTGAGTCTTCCATAGGAGCTGTTAGGACAGCAGTTAAGGCTGTGGGTTGGCTGTAAGGAGAAGAATTTGGGATACCCAGTGTGCAGATCTCAGTTGTACATCAAGTTCTTTCTCCTATGTAGTTTGAATGTGTTTGTATATAATGTCTAAAGAAGACTAAGAGATGATAAGCCCTGCTCAGGGTGTGGGAGATCCAGCCACCATGTGGCTTCAATGAATTTTTCAATTGCAATAAATGTGAATATGTATGTTTGTAATTTGTGTCATGTTGACGTGTCTACCCTTGAAATGAGTAAGGAAAAGTTTAAATCCTAGATTCTTGAGTAAACCTTATTTATCTATTTATGAGACAGGGCTTCAGTATGCAGCCCTGGCTATCCCGGAGGTCACTGTGTAGACCACGCTGTCCTCAGAGATCCGCCTGCCTCTGCCTCCGCCTCCTGTGTGCTGGGATTAAGGGTGTGGGCCACCACCCCCTGGCCTGAAAATACTTTTTTTTTTTTGGTTTTTCGAGACAGTGTTTCTCTGTGGCTTTGGAAGCTGTCCTGGAACTCGCTTGGTAGTCCAGGCTGGTCTCGAACTTACAGAGATCCGCCTGCTTCTGCCTCCAGAGTGCTGGGATTAAAGGCGTGTGCCACCAACGCCAGGCTACATTTTTTTAAAATTATGTCCATGATGAACCATTTTTGTCCATGATAAGACATTTTTCTTGTCATGTTTCTCCCTAAACAATAAGATAGAGCAACTATAGTATTTCTATTGTATTAGGTATTATAAGTAACTCAGAGTAGGTATATGTTAGGATCCGCTTGGGTTCTTTGTAGATAGTATGTAATTTACTTAAGAGACTCGTATCCAAGACAGAGTTGTTGCATTAATTCCCAGATGACCATTCAGTCTTCTTGGGACTGACCCATCTCTAAGAAAAATGCCTGCTCCCAGCCCGCCCTTGAGTCTAAAAGAGGACGAGCGTTCCAGCAGGCTTGGCTATTCTGTTCTCTTCATTGTCTTATCCCCTGGTGTGGCCGTTTGTTTGTTGTCAACGTAAGTCAGCTACTAATGGTCTACATCCTGCAGTATGTATTGGGAGAGCTTGGACTAGTGACCCCGACTGGCCTCATTCACAGGGTCCCTTCTGCCTCAAGTGCTGGGATTAAAGGTGTGTGACATCGTGACAAAGAGGCTTGATTCCACCACTCCATTCCCTGCCCTGCATATGAAAGTGCTCACTTTGCCTCAAGCTACATATCTACGTATTCTCATCTCTGCGTACATTGTTTTATGAATTCGATTTACCCTCGAGCTCACAGGCCTGCCTCTGCCTCCCGAGTGCTGGGATTAAAGGCATGCGCCACCACCGCCGGGCTCCTGGGTATTCTTAATGCAGCCAAGTGATAAGCCCGGTTTAGGGATTCATTTTGTCTGTGGCTGTGTGGTGGTCAGTGTATTGCCAAACTTCCCCATCCCAGGCGCACACCTTTAATCCCAGCACTTGGGAGGCAGAGGCAGGAGGATCTCTGTGAGTTCAAGGCTGGGCTGGTCCGACAGCCTCCAAAACAATATAGAGAAACCCTGTCTCTTTAAAAAAAAAAAAAGATATGTCGTCACATCTGTTTCTGTGCATTGATGAGATTACAGAGTTGGTTTCATTAGGGTAGTACTGTCGATGTGTTTAGAGGGCTGGTGTGATGTATTAGCAGGTAAAGTTAGATGACCTGAGTTGTCCTCTGAAGTTTACACATGTACTGTGGCGTGGGTATCCCTCCCCCACCCCACCCCCCCCCCACACAGAAGGAAATTAAAGTAATTAGACGTCTGGCAAGATAACTCGGTGGGTAAAAGCTCTTGCTGCCTAGCCTGATGACTTGAATTTGGTCCCCAGGACCCACATGATGGAAGGTGAGAGCCAACTCCTGTAATTTATTCTTGAGCCAACTCCTGTAATTTATTCTTTGACATTCACAAATGTGCCCCCCCTCCCTTAAATAAGTAAATGTACAAGTAAAAAATATAACTAGAAACCAAGCGCACACCTGACGTCCATGCAAGCTAATGTCACATGTCACACAGATCAGTGTTTGTTGGCTTCATGTGCACACATGTACATTTAGAGACAGGGTTTTGCTATGTAGTCTGTGCTGACTTTGAACTCTTGACAACCCTCCTGCTTTAGTCTGGATTACAGGTAAGCACTATGGTGCCCAGCTAATTACATTTTTTTTTTTTTTTGGTTTTTCGAGACAGGGTTTCTCTGTGGCTTTGGAGGCTGTCCTGGAACTCGCTTGGTAGTCCAGGCTGGTCTCGAACTCACAGAGATTCGCCTGCCTCTGCCTCCCGAGTGCTGGGATTAAAGGCGTGCGCCACCAACGCCCGGCTTAATTACATTTTTTAAAATCAGTCAAGGACATACTAAGTTATATTGTAGCAAGACCTGAATTCCCAAAAGGAAACAGTTACCTAAACAATACACCCCTTCCTCCAGGGGAAGGTGCCCACACCACTCCTGCTGGTTGGTGCTCCACAACTGTAGTGTCCCCCTTTGCCAGCGAACTTTTCCATGGTGGACACACCCTATGGGCGTGGCTTATATGGTAGAAGAGGTCTGGCTCGCTCTCTTGTGGTGAAAGCTGCTAAAGAATGGAGACTACATCTTGTGGTCATTTACTATTTTTTGTTTGTTTGTTTGTTTTTTGTGTTTTTTTTTTTTTTTGGTTTTTCGAGACAAGGTTTCTCTGTGGCTTTGGAGGCTGTCCTGGAACTCACTCTGTAGGCCAGGCTGGCCTCGAACTCACAGAGATCCGCCTGCCTCTGCCTCCTGAGTGCTGGGATTAAAGGTGTGCGCCACCAACGCCCGGCTGGTCATTTACTATTTGTGTCACCGCTTCCCTGATAAATATCTATTGATCACTTATCTTGATGGACTAATTTGAATCCCGCCCGCCCCCGTTTCCCCTTGTCTGCAGACGCTGTTAACCTGGCCTCCCATGTTAGATGTGTGGAAGCATGGCATACATGTAGCTCTGTCACGCCGGTAGAGAAACTTGTACCTCACCCAGAGCTTGTTAAGTTTGGACTTGATGTGGCGGGTAATGGAATTTTAATTTTTTTTCCTTTGAAGGAAGATAAGGTAAGGGTGACCTACCTGAAGGAGAGATGTGAGTTGAGTAATTATCTACCAGGAAAGCCACTAGTAGTCATTGTATTCTCCAAATAGTCCTGCACTCCTTTGTTTTGAGACGGTCTCACTGTGTGGTCCAGAATGGACTCAAACACAGCAATCTTGCCTCAGCCTCTGGCACTGGGATTGTAGGTGAATGCGACTCCTGGCTAGAAGCTCACTGCTGACCCCTTGTGGTTCAATGAAGTCATGTAACTAATTCTGCTCAATTAGCTCTGGAACTTGTAAGGACTGATTCCCATAGTGGAAGCTCTGCACCCCCCGCCCCCATGCTTCAGGAACTAAACTTGACCTGTATGGAACTTCTCCATTGGTGTAGGCCCTGGAGTGAAGATGCCACAGAGAGGAGCCTCAACTGACCCCTGGAGATTGGGAAATCAACCTCTATAACTTTGCAACAACCTTTATTGTGTGCAAAGTTATAGAGGTTGAGGGGTAGGGGTTGCCATGCTACTGCAATGTAGCAGCCTAGGTGGACCAGTACATTGCACACAGAACCTACAGAATTCTGACCCCATCCCCACAGGCCTCCTCCAATAATGCATAAGATATTAGAGGGGAAAGAAGGTTTAAAAACCTCATAATAATCCTGTGAAAGAAATATTTATATAGGACAGCCACACAGGAAGCTATTTGGAGGTGGGTGTTAATGGAGAGCCTGTTCTGATCCTCCCCCCCCCATAGTTTCCTGTGTGTGATAAGTGTGTCTGTGTGTGTGTTCCTGTGTGGGGCGTGGCATGTGCGTGCCTTGTGTGGCTGTCAGAGGACCATCTTACAGTGTAGCCGTGTCGATGTACCTAAGTAGGCCATAAGTTTGTGATCCCCTTGCCTCTGCCTCTTGAGTAGCAGGCAGGGTTACAATCTTGTCCTGGGACCAGCTAAAATGAAGAGATCTGGGGGCCTGCTGAATTTGGAAAGAACGTATCAGTCTGTGGTGGGAACCCGTGAGCAAGGATGTGGTGATGAGCCAAGGCACAGCACATTTGGAAAACTCCAGCCACCAAGTTTTAGATGTTAACTGGAGGCCTGAACTCTACTGCCATCTAGTGGACGCTGAGGAAGAAGGGAATATTACACCATATACTAGAAGAGGCAGGAGGTGGGGCGCGGGGGAGAAGGAAGAAAGAGGAAATTATTTTCCAATTAATCTGATCAGTTCTGTAAACCTTCAACATTTAGCATAGCATAAGGCTAGCCTGTGAATAGACAATTCAGATAAGCTTTGGGAGCTGGGGAGTGGCTGGGTGGGTAAAGACTCTTTATCTCATTCATAAGCAGTAGTAGGTGTTTCTGCGATTCCCAAGGTCCAGGAGAACTGGAAGAAGCTTGCTGGTCTACCTAACCTGGGGTACACAGTACAAAGAGACCTGGTCTCAGGAAGAAAGGGTAAGGACCAACACCGAGGGCTGTCCTGAGCTCCACAGATGCCACGTGCAGGCTACACCCCACTTAAGAACACCCCCCCACACACACACACACAGAGCTAGGTGGTGGCGGCACACGCCTTTAATCCCAGCACTCGGGAGGCAGAAGCAGTCGGGTCTCGTGAATTTAAGGCCAGCAAGTCCCAGGACAGGCTCCAAAGCTACATAGAGGAAATCCTGTCTCAAAAAACAAAAAACAGCCAGGCATTGGTGATGCACACCTTTAATCCCAGCACTAGGGAGGCAGAGGCAGGTGGATCTCTGTGAGTTCAGGGCCAGCCTGGTCTAGAGTGAGTTCCAGGACAGCCTCCAAAACAGTACAGAGAAACCCTGTCTCAGAAAACAAACAAAAAACAAAGCACACTGAGAGCCGGGGTGGGGGGTGGGGAGTAGGGGGTGAAGGGGTGGGGGGGCTGGGGGAGTGAGGGGGCGGGGGAGGGGGGAGCTGGGGGGGTGGGAGATAGTTTACACACGCTTTAGTCCTAGCATACTCAATTCCAGGGCAGCCAGGGCTACATAGTGAGACTCTGTCTCAATAATATAATGAAAAGAAAGTGTTTATAAATATTTTGAAGTCCCCCCAAAAATGTTTTTCTAGGGTTCACTTCAGCAGCATGGTTGGAAAAAAACAAAAGAGACCAGTATGGTCCCTGAC